ATCTTACTTGGCCAAGCTATTCTTGCTTTTTGCACATACTTCTTGAAGAAAAAGAAGAAGAGTACAATGCTAGTTGAAGAAAAAGGAAGTGAAACACATTCCTCCAAACTTGTCTTTGATTCTGCATCATAACAAACTTATTCCCCAAATTGGAACGTGGTGGATGCATACATTGTGTCTATCATTTGAAGTGTAATCTACCAATTTTCTTTCGATTGTTTTAGAAGTAAGAATTTTCATCATTCTATTCAAATTGAAACATGGTGGATGCATACGTAACAAATTTCCCCAAATATATAAAATTGTTCCCTAGTTATCCTATAAACCTTTCTTGATTCTCTTTTTATACAATTACCATGAGTGCTAGTGGAATGTTCAACATCTTTCTTGTAAAGGTCCAGTTGGGATAACCTTATATTAAACAAAAGAACTCCTTGAAATAGTATTGGCAATGTGAGTGAATCGGTTACCTACTTGGCAGATCATAATGACTTCTTATAATGGACATCATAGTGAGAAATTTCTCCTATGTTTGGATAAAATGGTCTTAAAAGATGAGACAGGTAGTACGTACAACAGCGAATCGTGCCTCCGATTTGGTAGAGAAATGAGCTAGAGACTGCAATTTGCTTTTTGAACATTTGAAGAAATTTCTAGTGTTAATAGGCTGAAGAAAAAGTTCTGCTTTACAAATGCACATAGTAGCTTAATTTTCATCTGTAGCTACTGTAAGCGAGTTAGGAGACTATTCCTGATTCTATTCAAATTGAAACTTGGTGATAAATACGTAACAAATTAGAGATTATTTCCCCAAATCTATAAAACTGTTCCCTATCCTACAAACCTTTCTTGATTTCCTTTTTATACAATTTCCATGAGTGCTAGTGGAATGTTTAACAACCTTTCTTGTAAAGGTCTAGTTGGGATAACCTTATGTCAAACAAAAGAACTCCTTTAAATTTGGCAATGTGAGTGAATCGTTTTCTTACTTGGCTGATCATAATGACTTCTTACAATGGACATCATAGTGAGAAATTTCTCCTATGTTTATCTGTCCACTTTTCTTTTTGAACATTTGAAGAAAGTTCTAGTGTTAATGCAAAAAATAGCTTAATTTTGATATTTTGGGATCATTTAAGCTTACATTTGAATGTCGTGCCTTCGGGTTTAATTTGCTCTAAAAAATTATTAGCTAACAGTGAGTTCTAGCTTTGCTTTGAGTCTTTGATCTGCCATATCGTCTATTTTTGAGCATCGTGAAATCATTTACGGATATCGGCTGCTTATGTGCTTAAGCTTTTTATCTAATTCATGTCGATGTGAATTTTACCTAGACTAACTGTCATTAAATTTCCTGTTCTAATATTTTGATTTAACAATGATCAAATTTATCTATATAACTAAGTTTGTTTGTCCTTGTCGTCTTGATAATAAGTTGTCCTGAAAGTTTGTCTAGAATCAGTGTTTTCAAGTGTACTCATCAAATGATTTTTCTGCATTTAATAGTTGTCTCTTTTCTGAGAGCATGAATATATATTTCTCCTTCTTCTTTTAAATATATTTTGATCAAGTTTGTGTTTACTTCTTCCTTCTCTTAGATACTGTCAAATGAGTTTGTTTGTTAGTTTCTACTCTCATTATATGAATTATGAAGTGCATTATAAATGATATAGTGTAAACCTTTCAACTTCGTCTAGCATCTGGCAAGCCTGTTTAGAGATAGGGTTGGTTTGTAATGATTTACATGTTCCAATGCTGCCCTGTTTGTGGCCTGATGCGATCTGAAATACATTTTTGGCTTTGGATTACAAACATTTCTTAATGGATTACTTGCACAAAACATCTCGCGTTCACGCACATCTCAAGGGCTGTAATGCACACCGTCAACACTAAACCCTAATGCAAATATTAGTAATTGTTTTCACAGATAAGATCATACGGAAGCAAGTCCGTACACATTGAAACTATGAGAGGAATTTCAGCTGGAACGATATGCTAATTATAAACTTGAAAAAAGAAATGGGTGTAGAAAAATGCTCCTTGATTTATATTTGATTAATAACAAGAAATAACTTAAAATAAGTCAAAAATGACTTTAACTAAGTTAGGAAGTGTTTGGTAAGGTAAAAAATGACTTAAAATAAGTCAAAAATCCAAAGTAAGAGCCCCATTTGGATTGATTTAACAAATGTAGTTTTTTGGTAAAAAATAAGAAGTCAAACTTTATTTAACGATTTTTAAGTTAAAAAATAAAAAGTAGGGGAAAGTTGTATATGAGGTATGGATATTATATCGGCGCTCAACCGAGGGAACTTTCTATGTCCGAGTTTTGATGGTAAAATACTGAAAGTGCCCTTGTGATAGATAAACACATAAAACGTGTTTGTGGCATGTGATTTACTGTCTCTTCTGTTTTATATAATATTAAAAAAAATTGTGGTCATTGTTAGTGCTGTGATGAAGTAGTTATTATGTATATATTTTTAATGACCATGATAATTAAGAAGGCAAGAATCCAACAAATAATTGTGCAAAAGAATTAGAGACATATATATGTATGTTATGTTTTACTTTTTGAAAGTCATATTGTATAAATTTTGACTGTGTTTGTTGGTGATTCATTAAGTAGAACTCAATGGAAGTCTATCATATGCATATTGATGACTGGTGTTGAGGAAAAAAAAGTGTATATGAAGTCGAAGGAAGAAAGTTCACCAGACAAATTAGGCATTTACAAGTTCGATTTATCTCGTTTAATTTTATAGTTGAGTTTTATAGGTCAATTTTCCTTCTACAGCCTGGTGTGCCAACAAAACGTTCACCAAAGAGGATCAAGAAAGCACAAATGCTTGATAAGATGGATGATATACGCAAAGAATGGATTCAATCTGATATACTAATCTTTAATTCCGGTCATTGGTGGACTCCCATGAAGCTTTTTCAACTGTAAGTGATTCATGATGAATTCCTTGTTCTTATTTAGTTTGAAACTATTTGCTTTTGATGTTATGCCCTTTCTTACCATGGTAGTTTTCTTCGTACAATATATTGCAACTCTATTATGATAGAACTTTAGCTTGGAAACTTGTCATTTTGTATATTTCTGATTATGTAAAATGCTTTTGAAACAGTAAAATGGTCATCAAATAACTATAGCACAAGCCCTCAATCTATTTCATTATAATTGATATAAGCTATAAGTTTAGGAGACTTGTAGATTCGTCGCAGTCTTTAAATGAACGCTATGAAATGTTGAGAGTTTTCTTAAGAAGAGACGAGAATCTTGCATCACCCAAGTCACTGTCTCTATATGATAAGATATGATTTTCCCCTTTCCATGTAAAATGTCTACTTCACAAAATTAGAGAATCTGTTTTTTCTAGATCACAGTAGAGACTTTATGTTAGGGTCCCTCATTGGTTTGTTTATATGGGACTTGGGCAATCCTCTCCTCATAAGCTAGCTTTAGGGGTTGAGTTAGGCATAAGGTTTCATATCTTTACCTTTCTTGTCCACGCTTCAGTTGTGCTTGGGTATGAGAGTGGGTGAGAGTCCCTCCTTGGTTGGGAAATGGATATGGACTTCAGTATTCCTCCCGCATGTGTCATAATTTTACAGTTCTCAAATTTTCAATGCATGATTGCTCGTGTGTGTGTGATATACCAGTTTCTGTAGGACATCGTGATATGCAAGAAATTGAACTACTTTTCCTCTTACTCATCTAATATCCTAAGACCACTACTTTTGCAGTAAAATTGTTTGAGCTTTTTATGTTTTGTATGCTGTTATGCTTTATGGCGAAGTTACTTTACCAACCCTGTGCTGATATATGGAATGAACTGCTTTTCGCCTATTTGTTCTCTTCCCTTACTCATTCAATTAATCCATAGTCTGATTTCAGCGTTTGTATATGTGCAGGTTGTTTAACCATTAACACAAATACATCGTCGTTTTCTGTCTTATGTTGATATGTCAATGCATGCTGTAGTAACATATACGTTTTTCTTATTATTTGTATAGTGGAACTATGTGATTCGTATACCCGACCGTTGACATTTAGTTGTTGTTAATCATATGGTGTTCAGGAGAGCTTGTACTCGTGCAATTTATTAGGAATAATACAAGAGATTTATAAAAAACAGTGTCATTGTGCTGTCCTCAAGTGAAAAATTGATCTGTCAAATATGTTCAATTCAATTTGGTGAAAATGTTAAACCAATCAATTTGAAATAAATTCGTTTCACTTTGATTTTCACATTTTCGATTCGATTTTGATTTTACCAAACTTAATAAAATAATTAAATTTTCAGATTTGGGACACAATAGTCACACACAAGTCGAGAAACTCCTCAAATTATGTTTTATCATTGGACCATTTGGAAATTGGGTTGGACATAATTTTCAATTGGGTTTGAACCTTTCAACTGGGCATGTGTAGTGCAATATAATTTCAGGTTTTCGGCTTAAAAATAAAAAATCTAATAGAATAATTGAAATTTTAGAATTAGTAACCTAAATCGACCAAACAAAAAGAAACCAAATTAAAGAAAAATCAATTCAGTTGGTTTTTTCTATTTGAACCGTAATATGCTCGTAACAAGTTGGGAAAACTATACCTATAGTTAAGCTGTTGTTTTTTTCACGTATATTTTCTCATTTACGAGCAAAATTTAGGAACTACAATAACTTTCATTAATTTCTTATGTGTTAGCCTATGTATATTACACCTTTGAGACACCCTGAATTTTTATTTTTTTCTAAATTGGAAAAACATTATGTGTAGTCCCACCGTTATAAAATTTTGAAACAAAATCTTACACACTATTTTCTTTGAATCTAGCTAACTCGTGAGATTTTAACGAATATGTTATTGTTTCAATGCTTACTCATAATTTGACTTTAAAAAAAAAATTTATAACTTTGAATTTAAATTCAGTTAAGATGTACTAAACCTAGTATAAAGCTAACATATTTTCATTCCTTATAACAAAATATATTTCTATTAATATAATAATTTGAATTTATCTTCTCCAAAAAATAACATATAAGAGTGAAGAACGAATCCATTCAAAGTGTTATATCCTTCCGTTGTCAGCTCCTAACGGATACCTAAATCAAAATGTCAATTCAAAATTAGCTTCTTCTTCTTCTTCATTCGTTCTCTTCAAGAACAGGGGTGATTAAAAGGCGTACGTCTGTGGCCAAGAGACAAGCAATTTCATCAGGGTTACAGAATAATCAGATCGGAAAATTGAATGCCCCGACAAACGACCGGTACTTTCTTCATTTTTTTGAATTTTGGTTATGGGGTTTCTTGCGTTAATTTGTGTACAGAAGGAAAATATGGGTGGGTTTTGTGATTTCTTTTTTTGGGGTTTTCATTTTGATCGAGATTGTGATATGGTAGATGAATTCTTTGATTATTGACTTCCCTTTGTATAAAAATTACGTTTCAGTTAAGTCTTCTTTTAATGGTTAAGAAGTATTTTCAATCTGAAATATCTTCCCTAACTTTTACGTGCAGGTGATGATATGGACATTGAGAGACTTACGCACGATGGAGCAACCACTATGGGAAGAGATATCTTCAAATTTACTTTCTATTGGAGTAGATTGAAGTCCTGGACAGTGTAAATCTCTCTGGGCTCCTTTGGGTCAAAAGTATGAGGTGAGTGTTTCTGATTTCTTGTTTTCTCCTTGAGCATATGTACATTTACTTGGTTGTGCTGATTAACCTTGTTGGAAGAAACAATATTTACAATAAACAATGCAGGCTGATGAACTTGTTTTTAGGATATCACATTATTTCTGTCTGATGACAGAAATGAAAACAGGGATAGATGTACCCTTTTGTATGGTGTGTTGTGACATCTTTAAGGAGAAAAAGGTAGAGAAATAAGATTTATCCATATCTTGAATTGTAGATATCACATTTTTGATGCACCATCTCATCTTGTGGTTGATTCTGCATCATAACAAAGCTCCAGTTGGGATAACCTTATATTAAACAAAAGAACTCCTTGAAATTTGGCAATGAGAGTGAATCAGTTACCTACTTGGCAACTCACAATGACTTCTTACAATGGACATCATATCAAGCAATTTCTACTATTTTTGGAGAAAATGGTCTTAAAAGATAAGTAGTACATACAACAGCGAATCGTGAGGCATCTTCCTACGATTTGGTAGAGAAATGAGCTAGCGGCTAAGATTAGGTAAAGGGCAGGTTTTTTGTTTCCTTTGTTTATCTGTCCACTTTGCTTTATGAACATTTGAAGAAATTTCCAGTGTTAATAGGCTGTTGAAACAATTCTGCTTTACAAATGCACATAGTGCTTAATTTTCATGTTTTGGGATCATTTAAGCTTACATTTGTATGTCGTTCCTTGGGGTTTAATTTACTCTAAAAAATAATTAGCTAACAGCGAGTTCTAGATTTGCTTTGATTCTTTGATCTGCCACATCGTCTATTTTGAGCATCGAGAAACCATTTATGGATATCGGCTGCTTATGTGCTTAAGCTTTTTATCTAATTCATGTCGATGTAAATTTTTGTTTAGCCTAACTGTCATTGAATTTCATGTTCTAATATTTTGATTTAAAATTGATCAACTTTATCTATGTAACCATAAGTTTGTTTGTCCTTGTCTTGATAATAAGTTGTCCTGAAAGTCTGTCTAGAATCAGTGTTTTTAAAGTGTACTCATTAAATGATTTTTCTGCAGTTAATAGTTGGCTCTTTTCTGAGAGCATGAATACATATTTCTTTTTCTTCTTTTAAATATATATTGATCATGTTTGTGTTTATTTCTTCCTTCTCTTAGATACTGTCAAATGAGTTTGTGTGTTGGTTTCCCCTCTCATTATATGAATTCTGAAATAAATGATATACTGTAAATCTTTCCCATTTTGTCTAGCATCTGGCAAGCCTGTTTAGAAATACTGTAAAGCTAGTTGTCATTTGCATGCCATACATCACAGCTTTTAAAAATATATATTAGTAGATGGTTATTGATCCAAAGCATATGGCATTGATGATCCAAAACAGCTTTAATCCAAATCTCTTCATCACCCACACTTGGTATTGTCTTTTCCCTTTATAAGATATTTTGTCAGAATAATAATTAAGCTGTTTTTTTAATCTTGTTTTTCGAATATTTATAACTCATATTAAAGTCTCGATTAAATTTGAATCATGTATTACAAGGTTCATTCGAGAGTAACACTTCCAATAAAATTTTCTGACTTAAACTCGAGACCTCTAATTAACAGTCTAGCAAAATTTCACCAATGCATTACAGTTCAGATCGATTAATTATTTATAAGAAGTAATGAAGAAAAACACTAAAAGTTCCTTTATAAGTCAACCTCAAAGGCTCAGACCTAATAAAGTCACCTGGCCTTTGTGGTCGTCTACTTGCATTATAATTCATCTTTACAACTCATAATATTTACTTTCTGCAGTTAATTAAACATAACACAAAATTTAAAGTACAGTACATATATAAGTTATAACCATGCTTATTAATTAGAAGTAAATATTAATTAGTGAAAATATAATAAAACAAAGCAAGTAGGGGTACTTAGCTAGCTAGTAGTAATTTTTTTTTAAGCAGGCTTTCCAGTTTTTACACTATCCATTCCCTTTTTCTCTTTCGGCAAAGCATGTCATCCACTCTCAAGTGCTTTGTCTTCGGGGCGGAGTTACAATATTAGATATCGAGCAAAAGTTAGAGGAACGGAAATGAAAAATTAAATTACCGTAGATATTAATATTTTCTTAGTGAAATTGCTTAGACCTTATATATGTATTGAGAAATCCGTTAAATATGTATAAATGTATTTAATTATAAAATGTATTTATCAAAATTAGCTGTGAAACTTTTTAAAAATAAATTAAAAATTCATAAACTCCAAATCGAATTCCATGTCTATATGTAATCCTTTGTCCATTTGATACTAATGGATTATTAATGGACATGATTTATGTCACACAGTGTTTAGTAATATATCATGCATAATAAAAGCTAGCTAGTGAGTAGTGAGTATATATTAATTGGAGCTCCTAATTTTCAACCCACCGAAATCTTTATTTCCTTTAATGCCCTTTGATTTTCATGTGTCTCGATTAATATGTAACAATAGAATAACGTTAAAATTATAATTTATTAATATAAATAAGTTATTTTTAATAATTTAAATTATTAAATGAAATGATACTATAAAACGGTTGGTTAATGATTTACATGTTCCAATGCTGCCATGTTTGTGCCTTGATGCAATCTGAAATACTTCTACAGGAGTCGCAATCATTTTACCAATAGTTTGTGTTTAGAAATTTCTAAATCAGTGTGAATGCTTAATTAGGTTGTATTTCTGATTTCGAGTATTTCAATTCCTGACACAGTGAAAAGTCTTTGATCTTTTCAGCAGAGAGTAGTCCTAGAAATTCATTTTAACTACATCTATTTACAATTGATCTATTTTTAAATTCTGCAGAAAATATATGATGTACTTGTGGACTTGGAATCAACAGATAAAGATTGTCAACATTGATACAAATACTTGTGAGCCTCAGAAGTCTAAAATTGTTTAACCTCAATTTTTTTTCCAGCTCTTTGAATTAGATGGTGTTGTTATCAAACATGGATTACACTGTTGCTAAGATTTACTCATCGTACTAGGCAAGGAAAAAGGAAAGGCTTTCGACATATTCCATTCATCGGGCATGCGCACTATATAATTTGACTAGCATGTTGAGGTAAACTTCTAATATCTTTCTT